GAGAGAGAGAGAGAGAGAGATCATAAGCAGACCAGCAGGGGAATAGGTTAGAGGGAGAAGCAGACTCCCCACTGATCAGGGAGCCCAATGCGGGACTCTATCCCAGGACACCAGGATCATGACCTGAGCCCAAGGTGGAGGCTCAACCAAATGTACAAGCATAGTCCCTGCTTTCCTGAAACTAGTTGTTGGTAGAGGAAACCTTGAATCCTGGTTCAGTCTGGGGTGAGACTTCTGATTCTGCACCATTCTCAGTAGAATTGGCAACCACTCTTCTTGAACTTGTGTTACCATTTTTAAACAATTTGTTCTAGTATACAGATTTCATTTAGATAGAATCTAAAAGAACTGCGATTTTCGAACTTGAGTGAGTAAGGGATCACGTAGAATGGTGTGGGCGCCTCTCAAAAATTCAGATTGCTCCAAATTTTCGACTTTAAGAGGGTCTGGGGGTGCGGCCAGCGATCTACGGATTAACCAGTTCCGCAAGCCGCCGGTGATAACCGTTTACTTTGCTACAAGGCTTTAAAAAAAGCTGTAGTCTCGGACCCCACAACTTCGGCCTCCCGTCACCTTCAAACAAGCTGCGTCCTAGTACAGGGTGACACCTACACGGTCCCCAGCCGGGACTGGGCCTGAGAGCCTCTTTGCAGGGGGTTCGGCTACCCACATGGTCGCCAGGGGCAACCACAAGGTCAACTCAATAGGTCAAAATAAATCTGTAACGAAAGCCTGGGCCGAAGTTGACAAAGGTCTAATCGCTCATTTTTAATTTTAAATCTAAAAACGGTACTTTAAAAAAGTAACTCCTCCCCAACCGTCCCGCAAAAGGCAGATTCGCATCCGGGGGTGAACGCGAGGGGCGGTACTTCCGGGTCAGGTGGGACGCTGCCTTGACCTTCCTCGCCGGTCAGCCATTTTGTCCCAGTCAGTCTAGAGGCTGCGGCTGCAGAGAAACAACCCAAGCAGAGCGTGCGAAGATGCTGTCCGTGCGCGTCGCGGCGGCCGTGGCCCGCGCCCTCCCTCGGCGGGCCGGACTGGTGAGTACGGGGACCCGGCGGAAGGGAGGTGGCCCGGCGGGTGGCTGGTGATGTACTGATTCGAGAGCTCTTGCTGCCTGGAGGGTGAGGGGCTGGCGGGCGCCGCCATCTTGCACCGCTGGCTACTCGGCCTCGGACTGGGCGGCGGCGCGAGGGCCCTGTTGCTCGCCATCCGTGCGGGACGGTGTTGAGCGATGCAGGGGAGGTGGTGACCTCGATGCTGTGCAGAGATGGGGCCTCAGGGGGTGTTCACGACTTCAGTTGAGAGCTGTCCGAGAGGGGGCCTTGGTTGAAGGTCAGGGCTGGGGCGCTAGGTCTCTGACACCTGCTCTGAAACGGCGAGGCTTGTCCCCGCTGGTTCTCCGGGACTGCCCCGCTGAAGGTCAGAGCACTGTTGGTAGCTCTAGTTGAAGCGACCTGGGGAAGCCTGACATTGTATGAAGGTCAGGACGCCCCGGCATTTCACCTCCGCCCGGAGGTCGGTTCGGGGGAAAGCCATAAATGGTGCTTTTCTGAATACTTCAGTAGGCGATCTCAGTGCTGAACACTGCAACGATTGTGAAAGGCCGTACAGTGCAAATGTGCATTTCATGTGGCCGATACCGTGACAGCAGTGAAGCCTAAATTGTCTCAGGCAGAAAGAAGACTTTGCTTTGTCTGGTGGTACTTTGACATGTTTTAAGATTTCGTCCTTGAGGAATCGTTAGACAGTGATTGAGAGCTTAAGATGGAATATAGGTTGGAAAATGCCTGTAAAGGTCAGTTCCCTTCATTACTTATCTCCCTTGAAGTTAAGGCTTACATTTACTTATTTTTTCCATTTTAGATATTGTATGTTTCCATCTTAAACACTGTAAACACTGGCTGTTTTACTGTTCTAATACAAGTAGTCGCAAAAGAACATTTTTAAGTTTTCATCTGGTCCTATAAAAAGTAGTAGGTTCAGAATTGACAGTGACCAATCACTGCGTTACAACTTGAAGGAGAAGGAGGGGGTCCAGATTGTAGGCTTTGTTGACCAGGAAAAAAAAGTCCACAGCCATGCTTAATTTCTTTTTTCTTTTCTTTTTTCTTAAAAGATTTTATTTATTTATTTGACAGAGAGAGGCAAAGCAAGAGAGGGAACACAAGCAGGGGGAGTGGGAGAGGGAGAAGCAGGCTTCCCGCCGAGCAGGGAGCCCGATGCGGGGCTGGATCCCAGGACCCTGGG